TGTAAAAACATTCTGCCACATTTTTAAAAACAAAATTATTTTCTTAAATATATAGTACCTCTTTAACATATAAAATCATGTATTACAGTTTTTGAACACTTTTTCTAGTTGAAAATATTTCAACAATATATTGCTCATGTTGTTGGTTTGTTTCATCCTAGTTTTATGTAAAATTTTTTTACTTTGATATTTATAACATTATGAAAAATAACAATTTGGTTAATATATTTTAGTAGGATGTACTTCTGTATATTATGTAACTCAGCAGAATCAGTAGTCCTAATTACTTTCATTTAAAGATACAAACAAATGTTTGAAATAAAAGTTATATAGTCTTATTGAACATATGGACTGATGCAATAATTTCTTGTAGATATTACTTTTTTATTCGTATTTTCGACAAATAAGAACATTTGATACTGGAAACTACGAATTTAGAAAATTATTATATATATATCATTAATCACATATATGAGCTGAAACTGTTTTGAAAACATCTCTTGGGTGAATAGTTTGTGATTCATTTGAAAATAAATTTTTAAATTATGGACAACAAATCATGCACATTTTAATACTGATAATAGTAGTGCATTTTGTTTCTACTATCACATCGTAGGAAACTCATAATTATCCCTAACGTTTTATTAAAATGTTTAAAATAACAAAACTGATCACATTGAGAGAATGTTATATAATTTCTACGATTCTTTTTCCGTTTTCCCACCATAATTTTAATTTTAACTACGTGTTCCTAAAATTGAAACAATTATTTTATTAAATTTTTTACTATTAAAACAACTTGTAAGCGCCTTAAAATATACTGTAAGTGCATTTGCATTGCAAGAGAAAATATCAAGGAAAAAAGAGAAAGTTTAAGACCCAATTAAATAGTAGTGTAATATAAGAAAGGTCTTAGAACTTGGTTTCTTGAAATGAATGGTATTTATCGTGTACGTTTATCGAGTATTATAAAATACTCGTTGGTATTATAAAATATAATAAAACATAATGTAAATTGATAACTTGAAAATATTTGGAGTAAATAAGTTCTGAGACTTCTTTCAACGTCAATAAATCCACCTGATTAACTTTACAGAAGTGCTAAATTTGAAATAATTAAGTAGATTTGTAATTACAACATGAAATACATAACAAGTCTAATGTAGGCTATGAAATTGTTCTACAAATATACTTTAGACAAACGTAACAATACAACAAAGCAGGCCAAATGAAAATTATACCGTCACCGCAAGTCATGAATGCGTAGAAAATTAAAAATGAAATATAGGGAGATTGGAGTTTTTGGATGAGGTGAAATTCGAATGGTGTTGATGGGTTGAATTAATATTATATAGTAAAAGTAATATCAATTACGTAATGGTATAATGTATATAATGTGCAAACAAAGTCTGCTTCTATTTATACCTTTTTTCCTTATCACAAAAAGAAGGATGTCAATGTTTTTTCAGTATTATCTTAATGACTTAAAGGTATGCTATTGTAGTGAATGCAACTATGAAAGTCAAAAATAAAAAATTCATTTCTTTTTACTAGAATTTGAAATGTATGAATGAAAAAATGAAATAGGGTTGTCACCATAGCTTATTTCATGATTATTATAATTATAAACTATTTTTAATTTTAATTCACTGTTATGTTTATAAAAAACTGTAAAACATTACATGTGAAAGTACAGCTGGTTAATAAAGCATTTATGCTTTCAGAATTCAGAAAATTCAAAATTTATCGTTTCCATTGCATTGCGTATATCTCTGAGTTGTTCGTGACTCATCTACGTTTAACCATTACTGTACAATGGTAATATGTGAAACAATAATAGCAATAATCATAGATGAGTGATAATAGCGACTAGAAACATTCGCGCAACGCCATGATAAATGGTAAACTTAAAAATTTCCTCAAAAAAGCATTAATGTATTTAACCATAGATTGTAAAAAATAATATTTCATAAACCTGTAATATGCAATTGCATTTGGTAAAAAATTCATTCAATCGTTTATATTAATAAATATGTAAATGAATAACGTTTTACTGTAGATTTAAATCGTAAATTATAAATAAGAAAACTTATATTAATATGTACTAATACCAAATGCAGAAAAAAAATAATTAAGACTATTTATTAATTTTTTTTTTAAAATGTTAAGCTGTGACACCCCAAATATATATTTTGAAAGTTAATTTTCAATCCTCTGATATTTTGCATATAAATATTTGATAAGATAATGTTTTTATGTAATTTGAAGTATATTTGTACCATATAAAACGTACTTACAAAATAATACGGTGGTTGTTGTTGCGGCAGGGGAGGCGGGATCTTAGGAGAAGGATCAAAGTGAGATGGAGGAGGTTCTCTCTGAGGTAAGGTTTTGAAGAGAGTTTTCTTTGCTCGAGGAACTGTTGCGAGTGGCACACTAGTAAGACTGGCAGAGAAAGTATCTGTAGGAAGAGCAGGGCTTCCATCTAATGTTCCCTCCTCTGTTTTCTTACTTGCCGACTTTTGCTTTGGCGGTCGCGTTACCAATGCTGATATTTTCGCCAATTCTGGACTTGGTTCTCGTTTCGTCTCCTCCTCGGGCTTCTTCAGTAATGTCTTTATTGTTCTATAACACATTTCCCTAATAATAATGTATATGTTATTATATACATCAGAATATATTAACGCATTGTTTAGTTTGCGTTTAATTATTTTGTTACGTTTAATCATTGAAATCATCTCAAAAATAAACTATAATATACATGCTCTCAAGAAATAAATCAAGAAACAAATCAAGAAACAAATTAAACAGCGTTAATATAATGTGTATGTGATAAATGTATGTTTCAAAAATAATATAAATATTTACAATAAACATTAAGCTACTAATAAATAAAAAATAAAACGTATAAGCTTACATTTTTTTCATTGGAGTACTATCAGGTGTTGGTGGTCTTGGAGAAGCTGTTCCTAATTTCAATGTTATTTTTGGCACAGCTTCAGAATTTTTATCTTCCTTCTGTAATTAACGTTGTTAAGACAAATGACTAAATTTAAAATTTTGTTTCTTATGAAAATGATTGAAACTTATCAAAATGATTAATAATACTTTTGAATACTTTAAACCATACCTCCTTTTCCTTTCGTTTGTCCTTCTTTTCTTTTTTCTCTTTAACTTTATCGACTTTTTCTTTCTTATCAATTTTTTCTTTCTTTTCTTTCACTTTCTCTGTTTTTTCTTTATGCTTCTCTTTCTTGTCTTTCTTCTTTTTCAGTTTATCCTTCTTTTCTTTCTTATGTTCCTTTGATTTCTGAAATTACAATTTCTATAAAATATGCCACGTTTTTGTCGCATAAAATATACTTGTTACAAATAGAATAAATACTAGAAGAAGAAACTTTTAAACATATAAGATGATACAAAGAATGCATAAATTACCTTTTCATTCTTTTCTAGTTTTTCAACTTTTGTACCTTTCGAAGGCAATGATGGTACAATGGGAACCGGTGTAGGATATGTAACTGGTGCTGGAGGTGCAGATGATAGAGGCATTGTAATAGCATTTGTAGGAACTGTTGTAACTATTTCTTTATCCTGCTTAACTATTTTCGGTTTTTCTTCCTTTTCTTTCTCCAATTTTTCATGTTTCGTTATTGGAGCTGTTATTTCACTCGAGGAAGGTATTACAGGTTTTTCACGATCAACAGTTTTATTTTTGGATACATTAGAAAAGTCTTCGGATTTTACAGGTAAATTTAAGAAACGAGGTGGTAAAGGTAAATTTGGCATTGCTGGATGAGGGCCAGGACCACCTCTTCCTAGGGGCAATGGAAATCTAGGAAACATAGGATGTGGTATTAAACCAGGTGCTGGGGGAAACGCTGAAAAGAAAGGGAATGGAAGTGTAGGTGGAAAACTTGGTTCTTTAGAAAGTGGAGTTTCTGGTGCCTGTGGAGTTTTTGGTCGATCTAGTATATCCAATTCTAATGAATCATTAGAAAGCTTAGTCTGAAAAATGAAAATTACATATTAATGATGAGTTTTGAAAGCACCTTGCAACTATTTGTTTATGTAATTTAGTGCATTTGTATTGACACTACTGTCTGTAGACAAATTTTAACTTACCTTTTTGGGACTGGCACAATGTTTTGGACTTCTTGATTTTAACTCCTTCTTTTTATTTATTTTTTCTTTCCTCTTCTTTTTGTGATCTGTAGGAGTTGTGGGCATGTTTAGTTCCGGTGTTCTTGGAGTACTAGGAGTTCCTGGTGGTGACATATCGTCAAACATGTAAACATCAGATCCTGGGCTTTGTAAATCAATTAATTCTCCTCCGTCGTGTTGAAGATGTACGTCTGGTGTATGTGGAGCCTTTTTCTCTTCGTGCTTTACATCACTATCATTTCGAAGCGCTTGCTTATCATTATTTTCATCAATTATTAAACCAGGCGAACTCTCTCTAGAATCAAGTTCCTTATGTTTATGTTGCTCTGTTGTATCTTTGTCTTTATCCTCCCGCGGTTTTGAGATCTTTTTGAAAATGTTCAGTTTCTGTTTATCAGGTTCTGATGGAAGTTTATCAATATTATCTTCTTTCCTTTCTATTGATGGAGATCCACCTGTGAGGTCAACTACTTTTTCTGTTTTAGTCTTAGGTTCTGTTTTCTTTGTTAATTTTGGACTACCAGCTGCCTTAGGCGACATTAATTTAGGAGTCGACGGTCTACTTGATGAACCTTGTGCAGTACCTTGTGATTTTCCACCTCCTGGCTTTAGAGGTTTTAATTTGGCTAATTCTTTCATACCAGCTAGTTTTTTAATTTTATTATCATCTACCTTGTTCGGTTTAAATAATTCTTTAGCACGGTTCTTTTTCTTGTTTTCTTTGTCAAGTTTACCATCTTCTAATCCTTTCTTTATCATCTTTTTCGGTTTCTTGTCATACTTTAATTCTGGTGGTACCATTGGATAAGAACTAGTTTGTGGTGAATCAGGACGAGTTTGATGCGGTGTTCTTGCTTCGGGTAGTTTTCCTTCTCGAGCAGGTGATAAAAAACCTGAAGTAGTCATCATTACACTGTGGATTTCACGCAATGGTCTACCTTCTTCTAATACTTTTACACGTTTTACTATTGGACTTTCAAATGATACAGGATCTCCAGGCCGTTTAAAAACTACTTGTGGAGACATTCTATGAGGAGACACGTTCAAAGAATTATTGCCCGATGTTCCATTACTCGATGATAAATCAGATGATCCATTCATTAAAGTCTCAGTTTTCTCTGTGACATAATCTTCTGTAATATTAACATTGTATTTTTATATAAAATTACTTTTAAATCTTTGTGTAACAAAAATTCTAATTTCACTTAGCAAACATATCTATATTCAAACATGCTTCTTAAAATTAACCCCTCCCCTTAATATGAAATCTTCAAGATGTTATAGGTGTTGGGTGATAAATCTGATTCTGACATGTTTGAGACATCATGCAAGTCTTGTAACTATTAATGACATTTTTTTTTTAGATGAATACATTTATTATTAAACAGTAAAAATTACTTCATTTTTCATCTTTATGTGTATGGAGTGTTAAGTAAAATTAAATAGCAAAATTTAGCTAGAAAAACTCGGAATTAAATGGTAAACTAAAGAATTCATTTAAGAAAAAGATTTTCATTCAATCGTATGATATAGCAATCACATATACAAGACTCTGTAAGAAAAAATTGTAATACTTTTATATCTACTGGAATTATAATCACCCTTAAAACAAATTATTTTATATGTGCATATTGTACATTATTTTAATCCTATACTAGAATTAAGTTTTCCCTTTAAGGATAGAAAAATTTGAAGATAATAACACTTTTGAATGTGACAAGCAAAATATTTGTAAATAAATATTTTAGATACTATAAATATCAAGTATTAAAAATTTGAATATATTAAGACAAATGTGATTTTGAAATAAATAGTATACTCCTGTAATAATGTTATTATTTTATATATAATTTTAAGTGTATCTTTATATATTTTCTACAGTATTCTTACTCATAACATATTTAGACATAACTTATTTCCAACAAGTCGCTTTTATAATACATTCGTGGTTTTTATTCTTGAAACATTAATACACAGGAATAAGTATTTATTACCTCTAAACTACATAGATATATTTAAATATGATATAAACATATGAGAATCACCTGCATATTTTTGCAATAGTCACATATTTTCTAACATTTATTAATTATGTATTTGAAATATTCTGAATATATGAAAATTTGCATGTTTGTCGCAAAATTTCACACGTAAAAATATAATTATGAAACACTATACCTTCGGTATTAGGATACATAGCTGGTAAATGCTCATGAATGTGCACTGGTCTTGTTACAACTTCTCGACTTCCAGGTTTGAGAAAATTTAAATGATTTTCTCTACGAACTGGAAATTTAGGTACTGCTATAGGATATGGAACAGGATCTACATTTTTAATGTATTCAGACAATTCCTGTATATCGATATTCATGTGTTGGAAAGCTAACCCTAAGTCATCAAGATTTGTTTCCGTCCTTCCCACTAAAAACAATGTTTAAGTTGGAAAAATATAGGCGTATACAACTTTTTATATTCGCATGAAATCTTTTATCATTTCGATTAAAGTTCTATAACACTTACAAATTTCTGCATATTGATGTGTTAGTTTTGCAATTCTCAAAATATATTCTTGCATGAGATCGACCATAAATTCTAATGGTGTTGAATTAATTGAATGCCATCCAATTGTTTGACAAATTTGTGCGATGACCATTTTTAAAACACTTCTACTATATTCTGTTGACATTTTCAACTATAACAAAAGCAGTAAAACATTTGTATTGATAATTAAAACAACTACATTAGTTCATACAAGTCCTATTTCATTATAATATTTTCCATATTCAATACATACCTGTTTTCAAATGTTGTAATACAATAATAATATTAACATTTGATTGATTATTTTCACAAATTATGGTGTACAAAGTTTCGATTTTACTTACCAATGAAAAATGAATTGTACAAAGGGTTTTTAGTTCTTCAGCTTATTAATCTAAGACACATACATTCTTATTACACTATTTAACTCCATCCAGCACTTCGATGTTAAGTCGTACAAGTCATTTTGATGTTAACAAATAATTTACTTGTTAAACTTAACAAAACGTAAATGGTATAAAAGACACAGAACGCAATGCGTCCGCACTGCCTTCACATTTTCCTATGAACGTATTTTTTATCCTTCGTAATCATCGATGCATATCACAATATATACGATGTACCATAATGGCGGAAAATCTACAGGCATGGAAGTAAAAAAGATAGCGCCCCCTCAGTTTTGTTTGATGTTATTTACATTGTGTATAAATATTAAGTATAAATTATTATAAAATTTCTTTCTGGCCGCTTTGTTAATTTTCTTATTTTCTTCATTACATATATCTACATATACTCTTATGGATTTTCTGTATTTGAAGATAGTTTTATATCATGTATTAATTCTATTAGAAGCGTTATTAAAGAAAATGTAATGTTCGTAAAAGCACTAGTTTTCTCTTGATATAAATATTTTAAGAGAGTACATGCCATATTTTTTTTTATTTCGATATAAAATATAAAATAATAATAATATCGAGTTTAATAATAATCTCTACACTCAATGTTTAATCCATACATTACTAATAAATAGATACGTGATTCTCTGTAAGTTACGTGTCTATAGAGACAAAAGTTGTCCAAATATGTAATAGCATAGATAAGATATAGAATAGATAGAATATCTTATGAACATAATGACTTAAGTTAACTGCTTTACCGACTAATTGCTCTATGACTGATTACAGCGCCCACTCTTCACGAACGACAATTTGGTGAACTATTTTTAACTGATTGTTCATAAAAACAGCCTTTATTAACAAATGGAAACCAGACCTGTTGGATGATAACACAAGATTTTATTCGTCGAAAATAAATACACGAAAAATTCAATATTTAAAATGTAAAATTTTTAAATATAAAATCTTAAAATATAAAATTTTCAAATATCTTGCCTATTCTCCGGATAAAACCTGGTATTTCCAGATTTGTATTTTTTTAAAGTTGTATTCTTTTGAAATGTAGAAGTTATTTACTCATAAAAACAACATTAAAGTTTTAATTAAGAAAATGAGCATCGCTCTATTTAATACCGTATAAATTAGCTGTAATTGGAATAATTTGCAAACTTCTGCACACTGTTAACGAATAATAGAAATTTATGGTTACTTAAGAATGAAGGAAATGAAAAATGATAAAAAAGATGAAGGGATTTATTACAATCCTTGGTAACAACATAACTGTACTTAATTGCATTTTTTATCCCATTTACATGCAACTAATGAGCTTGAAATCTGCGACACCTCCTTCAACCTTTTCTCTAAAAATACCTAGCACACATAACGTGTCCCATTAACATTCGATATTTATTTTCTAATTTATCATTATCAGTTCTATAGTCTAAACATTCCTTTTTTAAAATTTAATTCAACAGGTGTTGACTGGTTTGCCAGTCTATTATATAAATGCCTTAAAAGTGCCATTAGCGTGTACTATTAATTACTAAATGGTATATTACATACACCGGCATTAAACTGATCAACATATTCGTTGTTATAATAAAAGACACAAGAAATTCGCCACTCCCATAGATAATTTACATATTTTCTCTAATCTGACCACGATTTCTGTTTGCCAATAGATTCTTGTTTAACCTCCTGCACTCGTTTCTTTCTCAACTGCGACCAACTGAGCTATTTCATTGTTCCCAATTCATTAGAAAAAGAAACAAATTTTACGCTTATTCTACTTCTACGGTGACCCTGAAGCATTACAATTAATAATAGAGAAATAACATTCAATTCGAACTTGACAGAATTAAGTGACATTTAAATTTCATTTGAAATCTTCGCCAGAAGACGGTAGTCGGCTTTATTATTTTAATTAAGCCGTACTTTCGCAGTCAAAGTTTCCCGATTTAAGGGATTTGGTCATTCAACCAAGAAGAAACGGGTAGTGTTGTCGGTAGTCAATTGAAACTCTATACTATTGGTTTCAAGTGTTAGGTAACAAAAATCAGGTATCATTGGGACATTTGAGACTGGAAACCTTTTACAGAGCAGAGAAGTCACGAAGTCAACTATTCGCGGTGTTCTAGGCTTTAAGATTTCGTGAAGATACTAATGTTTAGTATTGTCAACGCTAGCATGTTCATTACATTTGAAATGTATCTCAATATAAAGCAAAATGAATGGAAAATACGAATGAAATCACATGTTTTATGCTAGCAGCGAATACGTCCGAATAAGATTCGTCTTTGTTACAGAAAAATAAGCAATGTCGAATAGAACTCAAAATTCTCGTGGCAGTGAACGTGTTCAAAACAAAGAGGTTTATCAGATTCAAATGATCAGCACAATGAGTCAGGGATTTTTGAGACTAGAGGGTTGCTAAGGTCTAAGGGAGCAGTTTGCTTAGTAATGGCGATATTCAAGGTTTCTATGGGTTTCTATGATTACAGTACAAACATCGGAAATCTAGAAAATTCGAGACAAATTTCCCAGCACCTGATGGTAATCCCAAGATCCGGCTCTCTTCGTAATAAAGTTTCCAATGAGTCAGTCATGGAGAAGCGAGTAAGCAGTTAGTAATGAACTGGTTTAGATTATCGAGTCCAAATGTCGGAGGCTGGAATTCCACAAGGAATTTGAACTAGCATTTTTTCTGTAACGATCAAGGTTTCCTCGAGGTGAAGGATATTATTTCGTTTGCCTGGGGTTTAGCACCAATTGAAAAGCTACGAACTTTTCGGAATGCGTGCAGGCAGAATTTGAATTATTTCTAATGATCACTCATTTACATGCTTAATACTAACATTCATTATCAATTGTTATTATTAATTATTTATATACATAATATTAAATACGATAATCGTTCCCTTGGCATATTTGTTCATTGAACTGAAATTCACAGTATAATAAGTGTCTTCTAAGAAACTTAGAGATATAGATTGTTTCTTCGAACAGTTATCAGATGTTCGAATCAAATAATCAATTCTCTCGATTACGTGTACCACTGTGAATTGGTATGAAGTAAAAGTAACAGTTACCTTGCATTATCTTGTGTGAGTGTAGCTTTCAGCTCTAACATAAACGCCCTTGTCTTTAATGCTCGTAAAAAAAGTTACACGATAGTTACAGGCTGTTAGATAATAATACGAATGTAATTACATGTGTGTTTTGTACAGTGGTGATATATCGCCACATTTATAGTCGTGTACTCCTGTTCAGATTTTACGAACTAAAATTAATATTGTCTACCGAACAATTCAACACTGCAATTGTGCTGATGATACAGTTCAATTCTTTAATCACTGCTATTACTCGCCTGAGTAATATCATAACTATTTTCAACCCTTGGATTGAACTAATGGTTTTATTGTATTCAAATTATTCTCTTTCATCATTAACACATTCACCATTACGTCAGCACTTTCTAATCTTTAAAATGTGAAGCTTCACGAAAATAACGTAAACAATTAAAAAGAATAAGGAATTCGATTCTGTAATTTTACTTTGGATTTGTGTTATACATATCTAAAACATTACATTAATGTAGGGCTAGCAATTAATACATTGAATGGAGGTCACTGGCGATCTCAACCAAATCGGTTTACTATAATTCATCCGATTAAACGATGATTATTTGAAAACTTTTCTATATTATAAGTAATACCACCTAATACCGTGACATTCAAAAATTCAAACCTGCAATAATAAAAACGCAATTCAATTACATAAGTTGATGTTCCATTTTCATTTTCTATATTTTCCTCAACAAAATCGTGCGGCGCTCAACGTGTTAAACGACCGACTGAAAGTCCCACATTATCGCTGAGTGCAATATATCCAAATCCCGAAGCTGCATGAAAGCTGAATGTCGAATTCCCGAAACTGTTTCAGCGACCAACGTATAACGTTTCGCGTACTGTCGCGCAGCGTAAATCTCTCGTCAACGTGTTCCGGCCTAAATAGGCTAACGCCGATCGTGGGCGTAAGAAGAACGGGATATTTATCCTTAACCGTAGACCGTTCTGGTTATATCATCGACGGGGATTCCTGAAAAAAAGAGCTCAGCTTCCGGTGCGAAATTATTTAGATCATATAACAGGAGATTGAAAGCGAGTGCCAGCCGGCGTACACACGTATACACGCCTCTATATAGTCTGCTTTTCTTCTGACCGATTACCTTTCCCACGGCGGCTTATAGGTGCATAACCGCGTTTATATTACAGTCCGCCGTGCGCACTTAGTCACACGAGCGTGCACATACACGGCCAAACTTAACATACGGCCTGCTATGAGAAATTCTCATTGCGAGGGCGATTGTCTGTTGCAATCGTAAAACGTCGGCACTGATCCAGTTTGAAAATCTGTCGGCACAGAATCTCCGTGTGTGATTAAATCGGCCGGTAAATCGGCTTTTATCACGACACACGAAATCGTGTTTGTCCTCGTTGAATGAGTTTCGTTTGACCCCGTATTAACACTAAACGTACCGGCGCTTTGCATGTACCAATTCCTACCGTCCAACCACTGGTTGCAAAACGAAAGTAAAGAAGTTAGACATTTTTCTTGGTGGGAACAGAGACAGAGGGAAAGAAGAACATTTAAAACTGATTAATCGGGCACTAGGTGAATTGATATCAATTAACCTCTTCGTCTCGACTGGTACACAGGTAGCATTTTAAACTACCGAAAAGCTAGGAATCTTTTTGATAAAGGAAAATCGTGCTATACGGAGATCTTTGCTTATAGCTGACAGCTTAAGTGCTAATTAGCTGTCAGTATATGTGTTTTGTTTGATTAACAGCTTTCTTTTCCCAAAGTTTATATTAAACAAAATACATATTCAGGGACGGAAGGGTTAAATGAACAGCCGCAGAAATTTAAATCAGGTAAAACCGGTCTTTTGACGAGTCACGGTGCGTTTAGTGTTAATAACAATATTAACATTTGTCTGACCGAGTGGGGAGACTTTTCACGTATTTCATCTGAAACGAGAGTTACAACTAATAATAAATATTTATCTTAATATTAATCTTTATAGATTATTCTTATCAGAACTAGTCAAATAATTGGTTATAAAACAAAGGTAAAGAAATTAGACGATCAAATGTTTTTAGTGGGAACAGATACAAAGGGAGAGACAAAAATTGAAAACTGATTAATCTCATAATATAGGAATTAATGTGAGATTAAATGAACGAAAGACAGCGCAGAATTTTAAATCATATTTTGAAACGTCGCTTGATCGGTCGCGGCACGTTTAATGTTAATTCAGTTGTGTTACACTGCTAGCGCGACACATCGAACGATTATAACTATTATTTGCCGCTGTTTTATGGTCCCACAGATTAAACGCGCACGTATACATGCACACGGTCCCAATCTGATATGTTGTGGGAAGAAAAACAGATACAAGTTCATCGTGATGTAATCTTTACGAGATTGTTCTTGACTTTCGTGAAATCAATTATTAACGCATTAACTGAGCTGTGGACAGTGAGAAAAGTGCTGCGACAAGGACGTCATTTATTTGGCAAAATGGGTCTACTTCGGATTACGATTTATTGCAGTGATTGATTTTCAAATTTTTTTGTATGTCATCAATTCTAGTCGAATGGCACAGTGAATATCACTCGATTCAATGAAAGAGCAGGTTACTTTTAAAACTGCGTTTTCAAATTTGGAACCAAGAATATCTTAGAAACCTGATTTACTATTGAAAATTTCTTCTAGAATAAAATTTGGTACAGTTTCTGATACTGTTCACAGAAATCTATTTCAAATCTTTACGACTTCATCATTTCCAAAATTCCTTTGACAAGATTGTCAACAATCACAACTACATTTTTATAATTTTGAATGGTAATAATAGTTATTCAATAAAATATAACTTTTCGCATGAAAAAAGTTGTCAAACTTCAATAATGATATTAATAATTTCCCAGTAGATGAAGGAATGATACATACAGAAAAAGTATATTTTCTAAAAGTTTAATAAAAATAAAGTATTTTACTTTATTTTTAAGTATTGTACGATATTTTTCGTTTTAATAATGAATTTATAATAATTCAAATCTACGTTCTAACAATGTATTTGTTACAGACTTGTTACAATGAATTTTTATTTACGTTTCAACAACGAATTTATAATTCGAATTTATGTACGTTTCAACAACGATTTTATAATTCGAATTTATTGTACGTTTCAACAACGATTTTATAATTCGAATTTATTGTACGTTTCAACAACGATTTTATAATTCGAATTTATTGTACGTTTCAACAACGATTTTATAATTCGAATTTATTGTACGTTTTAATAACGAATTTCCAATATTTGAATCAGGGGTCGAATTTCAGGCAACTCGTGTGAAACGTTTACTTCTGTCGTTCAAGTTATATATGATTACATTTATAACACATGTCGGCATAGAAAAATGATTGCTGTTGCATCAGACGTCTCCATTGACGCGATGAAATTTATTCCTCCTATAGTATCTCTGTATCACCGTATTTCCAAATGGTGGTCCAACTGTTAGTGACCCGGTAGTTTCCTCTCGAATTTCTTATAATACATTCACCGTGCCGCGTTCACCTAAGCGGACAGAGTGTCGTGCTTTCCTTTCGATCGACTTTGCTGCTACGTAAGTACATATGCACCTCGTGGTATTAGTTACATGCTCGCGTTATTTTTGACAAGGACTTGCCGAAAATAGCCTTGCGTGATCAATGGCTTCTAAATTAATTACTGACTCTTACAAAAGAATCGATTCATCGTTGATGCAATGCCTGTGTTCATTATATTGTAAACCTTTTTGTAAATATTCAGATTGACTTAATTTCAATATTTAATTTTACATAGACTAAGTCGAATCTTCTTTGAATCGCATATTTCCTTCGATTGCATCGATGTAAGTTCTAGAGAATCTTTCGGTTTCTTCGAATGAATCGATTGCGATTAAAATGTAATATAAAATGTAAATTTCGTGAAATTTTGTGGGATATTCAGTAATCATCTGTTACTGTTATTTTCTATTATTTGGAAAGTATAATTTATATTTGATTGGCAAAAAGCACAATACAAAGAGTATACCGATTTTTCAAAAATATTTAATAGGTAAAAGTCGATATAATCAGTCGATATAATTTTGTATTTTATATTTGTTTATACTTCGAGATTATGTAATTCACTTGACAAAAGAGGAACGATTTTATTGATGCAGATCGTTTCATGATCGATGCGAAATACCTTACTAGCTGCCAGCTCGTAGATTAGAAAAATGTTACTTATCACCCGGCAAAATCAATGCGTCCGTATCCGTGACGGATCCGTTTTCTATCACCATTTTCTATCCTGTATTCTGACCTGTACGATTGCTTAATATGCATCGAGCGCATATGTGCGCATATCTTTATCAACACACTGCGGTTTCTCTGGATTTATGGAGTGAATTAAGTAATAAGACACAAGGAAGACGATTATTGAACACCTTGTGGTGAATTGTTTGCTTTGTTTCAATACTAGTTGCACGGAACGCGTCAATTCGATGCATATTGAATTTTACATACGTAGTATCTAGTGAATTTCTAGATCGATAGATAAACTGTACAATAAATGTCCTTAAACTTAGTGTTCAATATTATTATATTATTAATTATATTAAATATTTATATTTATATCACCTTAATTGATCAGTTATTGGTACATTTAATTTTGATGTTGATAGTATTTTAGATCTGTGATGCTATCATAAAATATTATTATTTTACAGCAATGAAACAGTTTTATATTAATAATCAGTATTCAAAATAGGTATCACAAATGTATATATCCCCTCTTAACTAGATTTTTCAATTTGTAATAATAATTAAATTCAAAATTGAAGAAAATTTCAGTGATCATCGGAGAAACGATTAAATTATTATATTTCTATGTCAACAAATTGAATATTCTCCATCAAAATTCGGCGAATAATAATTAATGTAATCGATGTAAAGTGTTGCGAATAAGTCTGGCGTGTGCATGATTTGCATTTGTTTCTGTACTTTTCGATACATCATTGAATGTTATATGTTATTCTTCTGTTAATCTATCAGTTCGATCTATAATTTATATATTTGTTTATCAAATAGTTCACATTACACCGCGTAGTTCGATAAGAAATTCGATTAACGGTGGCGCACTTAATAATTGCACACACGCAGTTGATGTAACATTGACATTACAAAAAATGTTGGCACGACATAAGTTCGGAAAGTTGCATGAATGCTCTAGTGGGAGTCACTTTCTTTTACGTCAGCCGTGTACTGCCATTCTTCTCGGTTGGAAACACCTTTAGGTACATTGGAACTGTAGCAGGGACGATTGTAGTTGAATTAATAGGGAGGCAGAGGTATTCAGATAAAAGAACAATCGCGTAAGTTTTTACCAAGAAGATCGTTAGAAATGGCAAAAAATTCAGATGTTCATATGCACTATGGATAAACAATACAAATGAAGCATGTGTATTGTTTTTTTTTATAGGAAACTTTAACTGTATCACGGATTTATTGCGCAAACAATACATACTTTCACATTTTTTATTTGTGTCGCTGTGATCCTTATATATGACAATATATCGTGGAAAAGAGAAATTCTTTCTTGTATTCTTACGGAAAATAAAATGTAATATTACATTAAAATTAAATATTACATAATAATTTATATTTTCGTGGAACAAAAATCGTTCTACTCGAAATTCGTTTCGTTCAACCAAGTATTGGTAGAATCTCTATGTTCCAATAATAAAACTTTTCTATATTAATTTGTTCGGATATGGGAGACTCAGTTGTACATTTTATCCTCTCTCTGCACATGTCAAAAGTTGTAGCATAATTGAATAGAAATGAAGCGAAGATATAAAATTTTACAAACATATTCATACTACGATCTAAGAGCGAGTTAAGTGTTCTTTAAGTAAATAAATGTTTCACTGAAACATACTATTCTATTACAGTAATGAAATGGCACTTAACACGTTCGCAACCGTCATTTGTTCCGGTAACAGTCTCTATAATTAAAATATTTGATTAAATGTAACCCACCGATTTTATGTAATATTGAACGAAATACAGCAGAAAAAAAGTTATTGATTTCCTGCCTATCATACTGTCCGTTAAGACTTTAAATAACAAGGAGCAGAAAATTAATTTGATTTTCTTTATGCAAAGCACGACATCGTAATTGTTACACATAAAAGTTATAATTGAATTGGTGAAATCAGCGATAACGTAAGCCGATTTTTTTTCTAACTGACACTTATATTATTTATATCAAAGTAATTATACTTATTCTTAAAACGGTAATTGGCTTACGTAGTTTCTGATCTCAGAAGTCAATGGTAATGCGGACATTCTTCAGAAAATTAATATAACACAATAATAAACATTTAGACATCGAAGGGTGTTCCAATTTCTTGTTCGGTGGTGACGTATATGCATGATAGTTGCACCAAGTGTAGGGACATAACATGTCAGTGTAATAAATGGGCTGTCCATTTGCGAGAGTAATTAACTCCATTGTACAAAACAGGACAGAATTGATGAAATGACGTACGTTGCTTTTTAAAATTCCTTTTAGGATATAAATTCGAGTAAGTATTCTATATAAAACGTATTATTACATTCTCAGCATTTATGTGGTGACGTATGAAATTAAACTATAAACACAATTTATGTTTGGAATAATTAGTGTTATTACAGCTCTGACACAACTAAAAAAGATTATCAGTTTATTCCATTCAATGAACGAAGACAATTGAATTATCTTCTAATACTGTGAAAAGTTTCAATTCATTCAGTGTTCATTATCAAGACAAATGTTTATTATTAAGAAAATTTATTTCGACTGTAAAAATCAGGAGTAAAATTTTAAGATTTGAAAATTAAAGACAAATATTTCGATCGCTTGTATAAATTAATTTCCAAAATTTAACCAAAAATGTGATAATTTTTTTATTCATCAACTTGAGTATTTGAGCAGTTAAAAATGAGAAAACCAGCTAAGTTATACTCAATTTTGTTTTATATTGTACCTATAAAAAAATACAAAATGTCTTGAATCAAATTGGTGTTGAATCAAAACCGTGTGAAAAGAGAAAAATCATTCGTGTCGAATCAAAACTGTGCAAAAAGAGAGAAATAATTCGTATTAAATCAAAATCGTGCAAAAAGAGAGAAATCATTGGTGTTGAATCAAAACCATGCAAAAGAAGAGGAAAATATTCCCTATTAATTCGAAATCATACAGAAAAAATCCTGTAAAAGCAGAGTCGGGCGTGCTTCACTTTTCAAGCTAACCGTGGAACGACTGCAACAGGATCAGCCCGCATTAATGTCTTTGTTTTCTACGTTTCGTGTGCCCGGCGCGATGCTCACTTGGAAACAGTCCGTTGTGGAAAAGTGGTTAACAACCCCACCTGGTCTGTTCGGGCGCGGCCTTTCCCCTTCGTCTATAAAGCGACCAGGAATCCACTTCTTCCGAACATTCACTCGTCGCTTCGTCACTCATTTGTTCACCATGCGGCTCCTTATCTTCGCAGGTGAGTAGTGCTCCACGACACATCACACTTTTTTCTTCTTCTTCCTCGTCTTCTTCTGCTTCTTCTTCTTCTTCTTCTTCTTTCCGTGGAACAAGGATTTATGTGGGAATCTATATTCCCGTCTAACTAGTGATCGAATCATTTCTGTGCGAATTATCTATCGAATATCGAACGAGAAACAAAGTATCGCCGGTCTACTGCATGTGCACTGTTGACGTCGAGTTGAATCGCGTGTGACCTTATGACCGGCCGGCTAGATCGATGGATCAACGGTCGATCCATTGCCCGGCGACGGTCGTGTTGTGACCATTAACGCGTTCACATGCCCGGACTTCCACGATTGAACTTCCACGGCGGGAACAATCGCTCCTTTTTCAGAGCAGCATCGAATCGTAATAATGCAATTCGATCGGTTTTCAAACGGTTTCCAGGTTAATCAGGATCGTAGCACTTGTTATCCTCGCTTACGTGCAGCTTATACATTTTTTATTCGGTACCATCATGGCCGATATGTGGGTCATGGGACTGTGAACGTGTCAATGTGACAACGGAATAATTGGTTTAACGCGGGAACAATGCGCCGCGAGGAATCTTGGACAAAGAATCCCCGCGTTCGTCGCCAGTTCGGAAAAGTTATTCATCGAGGCTTCATACATTTGGCAATTTCCGGTGCGAGGAAACGTCGCGAGTTATCCTTGCAAAGTTATGCACGAGATTGCTATAAAAGCAGACACGACGCGAATTAATAGCTTTGTGTTCGATGGGTTGCGGTTGTTTTATATTTGGGAAATCGTTAATTAAATTTCCTTATTATTCGGTGGTTGTTAATTATTTCATTGTATTATCTGTTCGAGAATAATACTATTTACGAGTATTACTTTGGAAGATAATCATCGTACGAAGGGAAAAATCAGTTTCAGTCTTTAAAATGTTAAATCCGTTGAATTGTCGGTTGATACGGCCAGAAAAAAGTCGATTCATTTCAGCATTGTTCTGTTAAACACGGTGTTTTCGGTGAGAAAATCGCTTCGAGCCGCGTCAGTGTGGACTACTCCTTAAAATTAAGAGCAGGCAGCACGACTTTCCTTGATTCGCCAGATAAACTGGTGCGTACGGGCATTGCATTCGTATTAGAAACTTGCTTCCTGAACAACTTGGTTCACTTTCGCGTTTCGGTTTATACAAATATGCAGGCCGTTACTTTCATAGTGAGATAGGAGGAATTATTTTTCTTTGAGTAGCTGAACTTTAATGAACGCGATTTCGAAATTGAATGGAACCTGAATAATCTGGAGTAAATAAGAAATATTACCGTTTCTTCTTGTGCATATGGACGACCGGTATTCCATCGACACTCTAGACATGTGCGACGAAAGAATCGGATATTATATAACGATGATGTCTATTGGTAATAATTATCAGATAATACGAAAGCTTATGGTTTAAAGCATCTTTAAAAATTAACAAAGACACGTTATAGAAATGTACCTTTTTCGTTTTTCTTAAAAATGTTCGTTGTCAATCTTATGAGAAGATTTGAATATAACTGATAATATATAAATAATAATTTTGTTCAACTCATGTACATAAAATGTTTTAACATTCTATATGATTTTTATTGAGAACGTGGATCGTAAAGTATAAATACATCATAGAATGAAACTTTTCGTTTAAGTATGTTACATGGAATGAATATTTAACCCTTTAAGAAAGTAAAATTTTGTCATTAAACATATAATATTTATATCTGTAATCGATAGAAAACAGTAAAATACATCTGTGACTTTTTTTATTATGCGGGTATCATTTATTTATATGTTACGTGAGAAAAAGCTTCGAGTGAAAAGGGTTAATTTGTTGTCGTTGCTCCAAAATTTGCTGTCTAATTATCATACATTTCCGTACAAATATGTTTAATTATCATCGAAAGCCGAAATTATTTTTGGAGTGCGGATCGTTTGATTGTCGTCACAAGTTCACTTCTTCTTTCTTCCTATTTTTAACCTTGACTTTTACTTCCCAAACGAACTTCTACGTGATTTGCCATTATAATTGAACAAATTCCAGCACGATTCGAATCTGTAATAATTATGTATCGCTGTATTAACATTGTATCAAGATTGTGTAAACTTTCTCCGGCTTCGCAACGTAATAATTATACTCAACATTAGTGAAATCCGTTGTGGGAATAATTTCGGGACAGAAGCCAGTGTTATTGTTGTGTGTGCGAAACTAACTAATGAGTTTCAACACGTGTGAACGATTCTGCATAAAACCTTCAAACATATACCCAACATAGATCTAACGAATATTAGGTTCCTTTAAAACATTTGCCTAAACAGAACGAATTAATTCAATATTCTGCGAGGCACTAATCCATTTTGCTATAGTATCAAGTTAGAATAAACGTAGAAACAAAATAAACATCAAATTCTTTTCTTTTTCTATTAAATTATCAACGATGAAGTAGTTCCATCAAACAGTTGTGAAAGAAATCATAGGACAAAGTGACCTTACTTTATATTTCTTCTTGGTAACATTGGCACAAACACGTTTCTATAGTGAACGTGTTCTTGGTTGATTAAAAAATAAAATAAAATTTAATAAAAAGTATTTCAAATTTGCATTGGTTGCTTGAAAATCGTTTGCCAATAGAAACCGAATGATTTGAAACATTTGTGTTCGTTCGTTTATTAGTCGTTCATCAGATTGCTGACTGCAGTTACTGAGAATAATAACTAAACAGCATTTGATTGATATTGTTAATATTCAATATTAATAGTTAGAGGTTAAAAACATCTTTCCAAGCTTGTGAACATCACCGCGTATACAAATACTATTTTCCCATAGAGACAATTTTCAGTTTTTCTAATAAAACCACAAAACTGCGTAAACATGTAGATTGATTAGACGATATTTAAAATGTTCTTTTATTTTATGCTCTTATAAAATGTTTCGTAACGTTAAGGCTTAGACATAGAAATACGAGCAGTGAAACTTTGGCTTATGAACGTTTGATAGAGGTAAAATTCATAAAAATACGAAACTCGTGGTCTTGGATAAGCGTATTAAAATTTTTTATCCTCTCTTTCTTTCTTTTTCGACGCATTAAAAAACATTTGATTTCGGATTGTTACGGTGCACGGATACGGAAAAATCTCGGCGTATAACGAACGATTACGAAAAAATGATTCGTTCCGAATAACACGCGTTACGTTTCGCAATAACGAAACATGTCCGGTTTTAGAAGGAAAATATGTATTTCGTGACAATGACATCGTGCTGCGAATATAGGCCTTTCTATTTTCACATTTATACCGTACGAACACATTTATGTCTCATTACGCTCTAAATAATTAGTGGTATTGTATGCGTGTAAGCACTCTGTACATTTTTCTGATCAGTTCACTCAAGAACGACGTTTTCTGGCGAAAAAGAATATTTATTATGCCTATGAAATTCTTTTTCTCCGGGTAGCAGTCTATAAATTTTTTGCCCTTAGAAAGTTCCAATTAATAACATCAATTAAATTTCATTTAACTGTCTTCACTTTTATCACGTTTTATCGAAGAAAAGAACAAAAAAGACAGGTGATTTACGCAGAAAATAATAGTTCAACGTTAAACTGGTATCATTCAGTATCTTATATTCATAAAATTGTAAGAAATATACCGAGTGAGAACGTAGTCTTCTATCGAACCTTTGCTCCTCAATTATATTATTCGAGACGAACGGGTTTGCATAAAAATTCCAATTTTCATATTTACGAGTTTCAGAATAATCGTTTCTTTCAACTGAATGTTAACTCAGTGTAGTTTAACTCAACAAACTTGAATGTAACAAATTGTTTGTGTAATGCATCTGAAGATTAATGGGGTTTTAAAGTTGACGATTAAGATACATATTTGCGTAACTGCGTCAATCAAAATCGATCCAAACATTTATCAAATAATGTCTATAACCAGTTCACTGCGTTCAACGATTATACACGTCATCTTAAATCTTGAAGTGATACTAAATGAATCTTTTATTTCTTCAGATAAACATGTAATTCTTTTTTCTTTTGCCTTGGCTTTTTAATTAAAATATATTCTAGATGCATCTTCGCCCTTTGACGAGTACAGACTTTATTTTCTCATTTCATCCCGCGCAAAATGAGAGATTTTTCAAACTAAATTCCACAGTTAACAGAATAAAATTCAATACGAGTCGAATCGCCTCGTCCCGTAAATCTGTTGTTCGTATAAAGTGCACTGAACTGTCACTTCTTTTTATCATTCCGGCAAAACTGGATCGTCGAAGGTCACAGATTAAGTAATCTCTACGTTGAAGTTTAGGGTAAATCGAAAGTGTGAATTTTTGTCTTCACGCTGGCCCGAAGCATCGGTTCGATCGCGTTAAGTGCATCAAATCGATTACGCGCAGCGAAAATAACGGCACCGGAATGCAGAATAACGACGAAGAAATGGACATTGACATTTCTCCTCCGACTTTTTCCGCGTGAATCAAGGAAGACCTGTCATGCTTCGCGGGGTAATTCCCTTATACAAATTATCCCGTGGAATTCAATTCGAATCGCTTCTATCCGATTTTCTCATTGATTGGCGCTCGTAAGCCAATCGGATTTATCAGTTCGATTTAATAACGAAGGTCGAGTTAATTGACCATCCCGGTGTTTCCGGGCGACACGTAATTATCATGCTGCACGATTATTTACCACAAGGGTAAAGTCTTTGTATAAACGAATCGTGTGTCATTGCGAGGTGTGCAACGTTTTTTTGCACACGTCTGTTGCAATTCTATTGATAATTATTGCCAGCAAATCATTCTTAATAAAATTATACGGATATAATTGAAACAGATGTGTGCAGGTACGCAGTGTCGTGATTATTGAAGTATCTTTTGTGTATAACGTTTGTTTGAATTTTTTCAATATTTTTGTAGGGACTTTGGAATATGAGACATTAAATTAAGAAGTTAATAAGCGTATCTGTTCTCTT